GGGGAGGGGGGGTCCTTTCTAGACTTTTTCATGCAGGCGTCGACACAGGAAGAGGAAAGAAAATACTTTTATTAATTTGTTAGCCTTATCACAGGGTACAATGTTGATTTTCCATTTACATTCCATGCCTCCGGGTAACACACCAGTGCAATCTTAAAGGAGACACTTTTCCGTGTGATTAATTTTTTCCCCCCTCTGTGCAATATTATTTTCTTTAAATCTAAATGATTCCAGCGTTTCGCTCGTAGCTGTACATCTCTTATGGTATTAGCATATTACCGTTTGTGCTTCAATCAAGGCTGTTGATGGAATTACTGTACTGCTACCTGAATTGTATTACTGCAGAGGAACATCCCACCTGGCGTTTGCATCTTATTAAGATAATGTGCGCCTTTTTGTCTCACCAAAAATGTGCCTGCAATGTTTTCCCATAGATTACCGAGTGGCAGGGTTGGTTCTCCGKGAACAAGGAGAAACAAAAGCGTAACTGTTCAAACTCAAATCTGCCTCTACCGTGGTGTTTACACTGAAGTGTTCACTGCTGATTAGTTAGGAAGACTGTCTCAGTTTCAGTTTTTCACACACAAGCTTGGCTGCAGCTCCTTGTTCATCACCGTGCAGCGAGTGCACTTCTATCCTCCTCCTTCACTGTTTGTTCTGTTGCAGCAGGAGTGAAGCCCTCAGCTTTAATAAAGCAATAATTTCAGCTCAGAAAACGGGGCTGGTGCGCCTCTCCTGTTTCTCTTTCTTCTTTCCACCAAGCCTCATAAAAGACCCCCCTGATGTCCACAAACTGCCTGCTCTTTTCATTAGTCTTATAAATGACTCCTTTGTAGAATCCAACATCTGCAGGAGCCCCGGACATGAAGAGAATTAGCGCGCGGATCTCTAATAGACACCGCAGAGGCCGAGTGCTGCTTTTTAAATTAGGATACAGTTTTATGATCTTATCTGATGCCTTCTGCTGATTCGCAGAGGAGTGAAGTGAGGCGTGAAGTGACTCGATGAGGCTACCATCGCTTAGGATGATACCGGGAGATRAATATCGCAGTATCAAGGGGAGGTTGTATGACTGGCGTTAAAAGCTTCTGCCAAGGCAAATGAAGACGGCGTGAAAGAAAGCAGGAAAATACATTTCTATACACACACTCTGTACACATTCCATTACACAGCTGAATGAGAACTGTGTGTACAACTAAATGATTCTTCCTCTGTTGCTCGCAAATACAGCAGCACTATTGCTCTGCAGAAAATAGACCTACAGTGTTGTGCGATAATAAGGGTAAAGGGAGATTAAAGATAAACTTCATGGTCAATAAGACACAAAGATTAGGTAGATAAGATGAGATAGAATTGAGGTTTAATAGACTCAGAATAAGGGCATCTCACTTCCCCACTCTAGCAGATAGTAACTAAATGGAGCTTTTTCAGACTGATAGAGACACTGGAGGCCTTGCTGAATATGGAAAAATGAAAAATCCCACCCAGTCAGAGACATTAAAAGGGGGTCTGGTGGCTAGTCCTTGAGGGCCACGTAGATTGCTAAAGTTTGCTTGCATTCTCACATGTTTGGTTTATTATACAGTATTCATTGCATGGAGAGACCTGAAATTATTTCAGAGACAGCAATGATAAGAATAATGACTTTCTAAACGACCAGCACCACACTCCTAACTCATTTTCTGATAGTGGTGTTCCTGCTATATTTAGTTGTGTACTGTTTAAAATCCTGTCACATTCGCTGTGTGACCCACGCTTGTTGGTGCATTTCTATAGGCTCTGCTGACGAACTGGGCCAGAGGAATGTCTGCTGCTTCTGCCTCTTATCAAGCCTCCTCCGGAGTTCAGATGGCCAACGACACCACGGATGGAGCGTCTGCATTTCGCTTCGCCACAGAAAACAACCCGGCGTGCCATCAGCGCTGCGCTCTTTGTAACACAAATCTGGTTAAAAGGTATAAAGTACAAATCAGAAGTTTCTCAAGAGGCGTACAATGAGTTTAAAAATAAAGTCGAATTTCACAGATGCGTTGGTATTACCTTCTAAAATGGGCTGCTTTTATATTTTACTAAAGATAACCAAATCATTTCAAGATGTCCTTTTTTTATCAGAATTTGTTAACGGCACATTCTTCTTTCATTTTACTTAGTAGCGGGTATGATGTCATCAAGACTGTTTGACCACAATTAACAGCATTTGCTGTGCGCAGCTACCTMACTTTCATACACTTGTTGCAGTTGGCGGTGATGAGCAGTAGTTCCCAACCCTGGTCCTTGAAGCCCACTTATCCTGTGTTTTAGATGTTTTCCTGCTTTGACACACCTGATTATGAGTGATTAACAGGCTTCTGAAGAGCAGAAAACAACTAAACCACACAGGATAGTTTTCCTCCTTGAGGACCAAGGTTAGGAAGCACAGGTGTAGACGGTTTTCCCAGAACAAGGCTGTTGTGCGAGATCATCATGCACAACTAGGGACTGAGTTCTGAGGTTTGAGTCTGGACTGTTAGTCCCTGACACACTGCACCTCACGTGTGACTCATCAGAGCAGGAAGCGAAGACCTGCCTCCACCCTCACAGACACAGAAAGGTATGTTTGGTGGGTAATCAGGCCCAGACTGAAGTAGGGTTCAGGGCAACCAGGATTTAAAAAGCAACCATTGGTTAGGAGATGCAAAGACAAGTAATGTGAGGGTTGGGCACTCAGGGGGGCAATATGAGCTGGTGGCCATGAATCTGAGGCTTAACCAGAAACCTTCCTACTACTTCTACTTTCTCTCAGGTTTTACCTTTTATTTGAAGTCCCACCAGGGTCCCGGCAGAGACTGTGACCCTCACTGAACTGATAAACTGTTGTGAAGACGTACCTCGTAAACCTATTCTGTTTTTTTTTTACTATTTTCTGTCTGTTTTTGAAACAATAACATGCCAAGTAAGGTTTGTCTTCTTTGTGGTTTGATGAAACAGCATCACAATAAATGAACAAAGGAGGCTGTATGACACGAGGAACAAACAGGCTCTGACATTTGGAAGGGTCAGAATAAGATCTTGTTTCATTTCAGCCACATCACAGCAGCTTAGGGAACATCTAATTCAAAGGGTTGTCATGAAAACAAAACGTCTCTGAATTACTAAGTGCAGTCCTGTAACGAATGTTAGTATCTTCAAGTGTTAAAGCGTTGCAGTCCAACCTGTCTAAACATCATTTACCAGCTTTGCCTTCCACATAAATGTTCCTCCTCACACAAACAGTAGCATCTGCTGGATTATTAAAATAATATTTTAAGAATTAACACCCCTTCTGCACGTCCTCTCAGTCAGAGTCAGTGTCCAGGTATACCTGCCCCCCACACGGTCCCATCTTCCACATCCTCAACCTGTATCATCCACATTCATCAGACCCTTCCTCTGTCAGCCCCAAGGAGAAACATCAGCCCTGTTCAAACACTCGTGCAGCAGGAGTGGCCCGTGCTAATAGAGACATTGCTAGCTGAATGCAGGCTTGATCACAGTGGCTCTTTTGTTCATGGCATGGCCTCTGTCTGATAGGGATCGACCATGCGGAGTGGAGCTTCGGAGAGGGATATGGTAATGCCCCCGCCGAGTCTCTAAAATGGGGGTGACACTCTGAGACCGTATGATGGACAGAGGATTAATGAGTCACAGAGGAAGGCGAGCGGGAAAGAGAGAATTATGGACACAGGTGGAGGAAAAACCATATCTTTCAGAAAAACGCTCTCGACTACAGTCTGAACCGCAGTGGACGAAAACAGGAAAATAGGAATGAAAGGTGGCAACCTTTCCCCAAAAGCTCACACCTAAAATAAAATAAAATAAAATAAAAAACGAAGAGCTCTGAGGAAATATGTGCAAAACTTTATAAGTGACTGCTAATTTCATGGCATGCTTTTGCCGCCGTCTGCAATGTGGGGAAGGTTTTGGCCGGGCTGCGATAGCGATACCTCACACTATCAGCAGGCTCCACAGTGTGATGTGTGGATCACAAACCAAGCCTCCTCTATAGCTCCCTAATTAGAGGTGAGGTAATTGAATCTGACAGAACAAAGCAGCAGATCTCTATAAGCATGGAAATCATTTTTTGCACCCACCTATATAGTATTTCATCCAAAAGGTCCATTGAAAATCTGTCCAAGCTGGCCTAGGGATAAAACGGAGCACCTGAGACTAAACATGAATGCATAATGCAGCCCTAAAATCTAAGAAGGCCACACAGCACCACCTCTGCCAACTCCAGTCCAAATAACAGGCCTCTTTGTGCCAATGCTGATACTGGGACTTCCTTATTTTCAGGGGAACACAGAAACTTTTTGCAAAGGAATGRAAAAAAAAATGGGAAAAATCCTTGCAAGATAGTTTTGAAAAACAGTTGAGAGAGACGAGCAAGAGGAGGAGGAGACAGTGCAGAAGGCAAATAGATAC